AGTTCTGGTTTCTTTGCAGGAGAAGTGAAGTCGGCGGCTTAGCGGTGTTTGTGCAAATAAGTGTCCATTTTGAGTTCCATAGATTTGGAGCTGAACACCGCTGGCCGTTCGGGAGTTTAAAATGGCCACTGCTACGTGTTCGGCAAACAAACTAAGGCCACCCAGCGTTAGTCGATTAAGCTGCGGTTAATTGACGGCACACTCCAGTTCCCAGGTGGTCGATCGGTCGGTAGTTCGTTCGGTGGATTCAATCTACCGAATGCCCAGTCAGAAAGGCACGACTAAGCCTTTCTGCAGGGAAAATAAAAGGTTTTTAACATGGGGCCATAGTCCAGCGACAGGAGGCGGGCGACCAGGCTCCTCCAGTGGCGAGGTTGGTTTCGCCACACATAGGCGCATGATTGAATTAAATGAATAACTATGTGGGGCATAAAAGCATATCAATGCGTGAGTAGAAGTTGGCTGCTGGAGAGTAAAAGGAGAAGTACCTTCGGTATGGGTGGAGTGTGCTCCAGCTGTCGTATAATTGTGCTTTGCCAAGTAAAGTAGTGAGTCTTTTCTTGGTGGAGGATTGATAGGAATGTGCAGTAGAGGTTAAGTCGAGTGTAGTGTCTAGGGTCGTGTTTATGTCTCCTCCTAAAATTAGTACCCCTTCTGCAAAGTTATCTACTCTGTTCAGATATTTGTGTAGATATCTGCATTGTTTTCTATTTGTTACGTACAACTTGACCAGTGTTATCATTGTCCTTCCCACTTGACCCTTAACCATGAGAAATCTGCCCGTGTCATTGGTCTCATGAGCTTTATAAGTTAAGGGCATATGTGCTGCTATCAATATTGCCACTCCTCTGGATTTGGATTCAGTATAGTTATTGAAGTACCCCTCTAGGAATCTATGATTTTTGAGTTTCAGGGCAGCTTGTTCCTGGAAATTGGTCTCCTGAAAGAAGACCACATCGGCTTTTAATGTATGGGCTTCAGACAGCGCTTCGGTTTAATCCCCTTACTTTAAGGGACATAACCCAAATGGTAGCCATGGCTGGATGTGTGTTTTTGTATTTTTAATTCATATTTTAGTATTTTTTTAAAATAATATTTAACCATCTGTAAGTTTGCTAGGGTTCCCAGGATGTGCCTTATCATAAATGAGGTGGACAAAGGGGAAGGGGGAGATTGTTACTATGACTACATCATTTTATCTTGTAGAGGCACATAATATCTTGGGGGACAAAAAACATATGCAGAGTTAACTAATAATCCAACAAAGATCTTCAATGAGGAATTGCAGATTATTTTTAAAAAAGCTCTATCACATTACTTCAAATAATTAACAATTGTTATGTAACATACATCCTGTCATTCCAATCTTTGTACTTTTTGCCCAAGATACATAAATCCCTCACCTCTCCACATGGACGTCCCATCATTAGCGGGATCAATTCTATTACATCAGGTCTCTCAGCATTTATAGATTCATTTTTACAAACCTACGCACAACACGCCACATCATATGTTAAAGACACAAAGGCAATTTTGCAAGAACTTGATAATATAGAATGGAATAACCAATATAGTTGAGCCACCTTAGATGTCACCTCCCTATACACAATCATCAAACATGACTTAGGTATAGAGGCTGTGGAATTCTCTCTGCAGAATTATGAAAATATTTCCAAACCACTTGGGGATTCTATTTTGCAGAATATTGCTTTTATTTTAGAACACAACTATTTTATGTTTGATGATAAGTTATTTTTACAACTCACTGGGACTACCATGGGGACCAGGTTCGCCCCCAGCATTGCTAACATCTACATGAGAGTTAATAGTGTGGTCTTGGCATGACTGGGGGAGAAACCTGGTCCTCTGCTGGCATTATATAGATGATGTACTTATAATTTGGCATCATTCTGAAAGTTCTTTTTCTAATTTTGTTGATTTTCTCAATAAGAATTTGTATAATTAAAAATTTACATCAGAATGGAACAGAGACAATATTAATTTTCTAGATGTGACCTTTTCAAAAAGCGGACCAAATGTGATTTCCAAATGTTTTTTTCAATGAAACAGATGGAAACAGTTTTGTCCATAGACCGTGAACCATGGCGCCAAGGCATCGCAAAGAGCCAATTCACAAGGGTCCGCCGAAATTGCTCCAGATTAGATTTCCAGAAATAAGCAAATGTGGTAAAAAATAAACTTATCTTAAAAGGAGATGATAAAAACCATCTAAAGAGGGAATTAAAAACAATCTCAAAAACAAGTAGTTATTTTCTTAATGATAAACCAAACAGAAGATATCATATAGATTTTAAAACCAAGAATAAGTTTGATAATGCTTTTATCATAAGATCATATTGCCCCTTTAAGATCAAAGGGGCAATATAGAAATATTGATCTTTACTATGGGAAGATAGGATCTTAGGTCCATCTCTCCCTGACCACCCTTCAATAATAAAAAAAAAAAGAAAAATCTCAAACTCCTTAACTCCGAGTTACAGTATTAAACATACCAGAAAGAACCACAAAAAAATGGACCAATTTGTGGGCTTCATAGGCTGTTTGGCCTGTAAGGCATGCAAAACCATAGGGAATGGAACAGGAATTATAAAAGATTTTGTTAGCACAGTAACCTGGAAGAAATATCTCATTAAAAATACCATATATTGCCACACGGACTATGTAGTATATTTGCTGCAGTGTCCGTGTGGCAAACAGTTTGTTGGTAAAACTAAAAGGAAGCTCAAAATTAGATTCCTGGAACATCACAATAATACTAGGAAAAAAAATAACAATCACACAGTCCTGTTTTACTGTAATACTTGTCCATTTTTTAGTTGGCAAAATCTGGTATGTTTGGGTATCGAACACATCAGACCCCACTGGAGAGGTGGAAATAGGGATGAAAAGTTGGCTCAGCATGAGAGGTACTGGATCCATGAAATTGGGCACATTGGAACCCGGAGGTCTCAACGCCGAAACAAATATAATTTGTTTTCTTTGATGTAAATGGAATTACGTTCACCAACTACATGGATCTGCTATGTAGTTTTTTAAACTGTTGCCATACTCCCCGGCTCCCCAGCTGGGGATTGACTTTTGTGGCTGTGCATCGTTGCTTTATGTTCCTCCAGAATTTCTGGAAGATTGTGTCCAGTCTCCTTAGGGAGTCCGCTGTGGAGTCTTGCAGTGTCCTCCGCTCGAGGCCCTCAACTCGTGGTAGCAGGGTGCTGGCGTCCGCCATTTTGGATTCTCAGGATCGAGGTAGTGCAGCCCGGTTAGCGTTGTGTGCTCTAACACAGCCTCTAAATTGCTTTGAGGGAGACCGGGATGACCCTTACCGGTCAACACTCTCACTCTCTCTCCAACTTGACGGAGGTCAGATGCTAGAACTTCCATTTGTTGTTGAAAGTAAGATTCCGGTTTGGCAAGCATATTCGCCATGACCCCTTTTGATGGTAAATTTTTGAGTATTACCCTGATGTCTGGCTCCTGCTGTGTGCTGAAGCTGTCTGAGTCAGCTGGGCTGGAGGGTGGTGAATCCCCTCTGGGCTCCGGCGCCATCTTAGGACCGTTGGTATGGCATTGAGGGTCCACGGAATCTTGGAAATATTTAGTAAGAGAGCCCCCTTTAGCATTAGGGTCTTTCCTCAGGTGTTGTGGCTTGAATGGGCCTTCTTGGGTTTACCCATGGCACTTCTGTAGCCCTTCAATTACCGGGATTCTACCATTGTAAGCCGGGAGCTCAGCAGGACAAGTCCATGTGGCTCCGTAGTAAGCCACGCACCCTTCTTTACACAATCCTGACATACACAAAGACATTTGCCAAAAGATGTATCAGAGAGGGAGGGCGGAACGGAAAGGAGCCAAATGCCAAAACAGACAACCCTCATTCCTGGAAAATGAAAAAATCCCTAGTTATTTTTATTATTTAACAAACAAACTCATTGAAACATCTTAGATTGCCATTTTTCTCATTTTTGTTGTTGTTGTATACCACTTTCCATGGTTAACTGATGTATTATTTGGCTTTTAATTATAGACCAGCGAGGTGTAAATGTCGTTTTGCAATTTTTTGCTATTCGATATTTAAACGCAATAAAAATATGTATCATGAATTATTTTTCTATCTTTGTTATCTTTTTTTTTTAAATTCAAGTGTAACAAGAACACTTATAAAAGTCTAATTCTTTCCCCATGAAAATCTCTATTCTTCTCCTAATCATTTGTCAGAAAAGCTGGGTTACATTTCCACCAAATGTGAATAAAATCTGCAGTCTGTGCACCACATCTTTAGCAAATATCATTTTACTTGGGAATTACTTTTTAGAGTTTTAGTGTTATTTGAAAGTGTAAATAAATGCAAATAATCCTAATTTCCTGTACTGCACTTGTATTGTCTCAGCACCCACATCTTAATAAACTTCTTTTGACTCCCATTACTGCTGAGCTTGATCCTTCCTTGACATTCATTCCTGTGCTTGTTCTATGTTCTTTTCCTATTGGTCCTCTTAGTGAAAGAGTTATAAATAGATTTTACTTGGCTCCAAAGCCTTACTACTGTCATACATCCGGCTGCCATGTGGAACTTGCAGGCTCCAGTTGGAATCGGAGGCTGCGCGGTGTTCCTCTGCTTCATGAGCAGAACATGTTCTGCAGGTCAATGATCTCGCGAGTTTGCCGAGTCATCATGGTAACCTTGTACCGCCTACAAAACTTACCAGGAAAGGTTAAAGGATCTTAACATGTATAGCTTGGAGGAAAGACGAGACAGGGGGGATATGATAGAAACATTTAAATATATAAAGGGAATCAACACAGTAAAGGAGGAGACTATATTTAAAAGAAGAAAAACTTCCACAACAAGAGGACATAGTCTTAAATTAGAGGGGCAAAGGTTTAAAAATAATATCAGGAAGTATTACTTTACTGAGAGGGTAGTGGGTGCATGGAATAGCCTTCCAGCTGAAGTGGTAGAGGTTAACACAGTAAAGGAGTTTAACCCCTTAAGGACACATGATATGTGTGACATGTCATGATTACCTTTTAATCCAGAAGTTTGGTCCTTAAGGGGTTAAGCATGCGTGGGATAAGCATAACGCTATCCTTTCCTAACTATAATATAAGGCCAGGGACTATAGAAAGTATTTAGAAAATTGGGCAGACTAGATAAACCAATCGGTTCTTATCTGCCGTCACAATCTATGTTTCTACAAGAGTCCTTAAAGTTACAGGACCCTGTAATTCTAAGTTAATTTATAGTAACATTTCATCTGGTCATATTTATGGGACACATCATCTTCCCTTCTCCAGTCACACCCCTTTGTTTGATTTGACGCAGGGTGATGATGCTGTCCCATAGCTTTGTGGGTATCCCAGTATATACGTCCCTCTTCCTTGGAATTATTGCCCTGTCGTGGATAATTTTGCCTGAGAGTGTGCTCTGATTATTTGTTGTTCTTGTCACTGACCTGGCTTCATGTTGACCATTCTTATTTTTTGTAACCTTGTTTAATCATTTCATGAATACGTCTGGAATCCTTGACAAGGGCTTACAGTCTGACACTGCATTTTCACCAATCTTGGGTACATGTTAAATCTGGTCACTCTCAGTTCCGGTCTACGTATCACGTTATCTTTTACTTCATACTAGCTACTGTTTCCCTATTCTCTGTGTGTAGGGATTGCCCCAACTTGACAACTACAGACCTTGGATCAGTAACAGTTAGAATACACCCATATTGTGGGAAGATCTGTATTTTAGTCTTTACATAAACATTTACTTTGGAAGTTTTGTAACTTGTTAGATATAATAATTGCATATTATTATTGATACTATGCTGCATATTTGCAACACAGACAGGCAATCAATATTTACTAGGACACTTTTACACTTTTTTTTAATTATAAAACTCACTAGTAAAGTGCATTTATTTGTTCTCATAAAACAAATGAAAACATGCACTATATGGACAAAAGCTTGTGGGCACCAATTATAATTATTGAGTTCAAGTGCTTCAGCCTCATTAATTGTTAATAAGTGCATACAACCCAGCACATGAAATCACTGTAAAGTAATATTGGGAGAACAGTGGGCAACTGAAGTTATTTAAAAAATCTTTAATTACAGTATCTAAAACAACATTATGCTAAAGGATTATATAGTAAATTTACTATTTCTTGTTAAGTTGTTAAGTGTACAAGTAAAAATAAAATGTACAGTTATAAATTAGTATAAAAGTACAATGTGGTACATTAGAATATACACTAACAAATGCAGAAAATTGGAAAATATATAATTTTTTATTAGGTCTGCATCGGTCACATAATGATTTTTTTTAAATTAGTCTACAAAATGGCTAAAATGTTGAACAAGTTAAAGGAACACTATAGTCACCTAAATTACTTTAGCGAAATAAAGCAGTTTTAGTGTCTAGATCATTCCCCTGCAATTTCACTGCTCAATTCACTGTCATTTAGGAGTTAAATCACTTTTTTCTGTTTATGCAGCCCTAGCCACACCTCCCCTGGCTATGATTGACAGAGCTTGCATGAAAAAAAACTGGTTTCACTTTCAAACAGATGTAATTTACCTTAAATAATTGTATCTCAATCTCTAAATTGAACTTTAATCACATACAGGAGGCTCTTGCAGGATCTAGCAAACTATTAACATAGCAGGGGATAAGAAAATATTAATTAAACAGAACTTGCAATAAGGAAAGCCTAAATAGGGTTCTCTTTACAGGAAGTGTTTATGGAAGGCTGTGCAAGTCACATGCAGGAAGGTGCGACTAGGGTTCATAAACAAAGGGATTTAACTCCTAAATGGCAGAGGATTGAGCAGTGAGGCTGCAGGGGCATGTTCTATACACCAAAACTGTTTCATTAAGCTAAAGTTGTTCAGGTGACTATAGTGTCCCTTTAACTAAAAAACAAAAACACTAGTTGACGGTAAGTAACAAATAGTCTTGATGTTTGGATCTACCCTATTACTCCTAAAAAATAAAATGATACATAGTCCTTCCCCAGAATATCTAACTGCCCCTTTATGGCATTTAGAATGTGTGACTTGCCACCTGATTGCACATACTGCTGTCCAACCCTTATAAAGAAATATTCATCACATAGTCCGCAGCGATACTATAAAAAGGGATATCACAGAAATCATACCACACATCCTTCCTGTTTGCAAATTTAACGTTCATCTATTTTATAACGAGATAGGATCCCCATCTTTTCACATCTAATCTTTCAGACGTTATATTTAAGGTGGCTGTCTCTGTCTGGTGTTTTCATTTTGGCGACATGTAAAACGTACATAGTTTGCCAGTCTCCAACCATGGATATCAGCTACACACTGTGCGGTGGGTATAAAATAACTTTATGTTTAATATGTTTTATGTTTAGTATAAATGTTATAATTGTGTTGCAGCTTCCTGTGTTTCCTTTCTATTCTCTTTTTCACCTCACTTTACCTTCAGAAACTGTGTTCACGGTTCATTTAGGCAGAGTTAACTTTGTTTGTTTTTAGTCTTTATTGCATTGATTTTGACGATATTACAATCATTGGTTGAGTACTTTTTAATTTTGTAATTTCCTACTTAATGTGTTTTAGTTTCCTTTTTAATTCAAACACTGCATGCCTACTTGTCTGAACAAGCCACTTCTTGTTGTTCCAACTACTGTAAATGTCTAGACATTGACACAAAGGTCATTTTCACCTTGTACCTTCATAGCTATTTTCATATACTGTAGAATAAAATGTAAAATAAAAAATTATGGCCTGAAGGTAGGGACTATGGAAGATGCTCTTTTATTTGTCAGTATATTGTTGAGTGCTGGCTTCTTAAAGAGGCATTATCATGCCGAACTTACCTTTCCCCTATCGATTCCTCTTCTCTCCCTCTGTCAGAATCTGTTCTTCATTTCTTCCTTTCTGCTCTTGTTTTCCTTAAAACATAAGACAAAGAAGGGACAATTTTTTCTTATGGAGGTTTCCTACGCCTGACCAGCTTTAACCAGCGGAGGAGCAAAGTGTGCATCTTGCAGCTGCTTAGTAGATAGCTCCCTAATTCCCACGGTATCGGGAGCTATCTACCAAAAGGCTAAAAGACCTAAATTGGTCTTTCAGACAAATTTACTAATACTAAGTAAATTTAGTTTACTTATTGCCCCCAGCCCCCAACCCTGAGCGGCGGGTGGAGGCCCTAAATTATAATATGGGGATGGGGGACCTATAGTCCTCCCTCTCTAACCCCCACCCCTGAGCAGCGGGTGGAGGCCCTAAATGAAAATGTAGGGGGGGACCCATTGTCAGAGTGTTTTTACCAGTCAAATTACACAGTATGGGAAAATTCCAAATAACTTTTCTACGCTGTGTAAAATGCCACAGAACACTCTGATTTGTTGGATTTCAAGCCAACCAATCAGAGTGCTGTGACAGGTAAATTTAGAGACTTACCTGTCTGTCTCTTCATTTACCTTAAACCAACCAATCGGAGCGCTCTGAGCCAAATTGCAGGGCGGGGAAAGCCTTTCCCTGCCCTGAAGAGCTCAATCTGCGTCGTGCCCTCCATGGGTGAAGATGGATTATTTTTTAGCGTTGGGTTTTTTTCTTTTCGTCATATTTTTTTGGGCGCTCAGTTTTTTGTTTTTTTTAATTCAGACAGGTATTATGGACTTTTATTTGGCCTTTTTGGGCCTGAAAAAATAAGATTTTAGAAAAAAGACATCAAATGCTAAGTTATTTTTTATTTACAGGGATTTCGTTTTATTGTTCCCCCTCACTATTTTTACGGTGAGGGGGGTATGTAGGGATTTATTATTTTTTGGGGGTGGGGGTGTGACTAGGGGAGTGGGGACCCCTAGTCACCTGGGGGGTTAACATTTTCATTTAGGGCTCCCACCCACCACTCATGGGTGGGGGCCGGGGAGGACAATAGGTCTCCCCCATTTTTATTTAGGGCCCCCACCCACCGCTCATGGGTGGGGGCCAAGGGAGAAAATCAGTCAGACAGCTCAGCTCGCGAACGCGAATTCCGCGCACATGCACAGTTGAGCGCTGAGTTTCTTCATGGGGCGGCATTCAATGCCGCTCTATGAAGAATGCAATTGATGCAGCTCGAAACCACGCATGCGCACCACATCACGATGACACTTCCCAAGGAGAAGCGTCCTATTTGGCCCTGCGATTTAGTCATTTTGATGAAAAAGGGGGCGTGGCCTAGCTGGGAGCTTGGCGCTGGAACGGAGGTAAGTTTATTATTACTCAGATTTTTTTTTTTTATGGCAAGTTCCTATAAAAGCAAGAAAGAAGGCTGGGGGACCTGTCTTTCTTGCTTTTATATGTTGACTGTAGTGTCCCTTTAATAAATATTTCTGTAGCTCCTCGATTCACCAAATAATTCCTTTCCTATTGGTTTGTTTTCAGAGTGACTTGATGGATTTTTAACACTAATGGTGTGTAAACGATAACTTTTAAATGTTAAACCTTTTGAATGTTAAATCTGAGACATGCTTATTTGATTGTACTTTTCCAATGATTTCCTTTTCATATGTGAGGATGATGTAATATAGATTTGATTCAGTACAAAATCTGACACTTTTTTTCAGGTCCTTTCGAAAAAAAATATCTTCACCATCAATCCCACTGTAAATAAGCAAAAAGGAGTAAAGGACAATCAATTTCAACCCCTATATGTCACTTTAACCAACTGCCAATTTGCATTTACCTCTCTTGCTAGTCTCAACTGTTCCCCCTACACTAATGCTATTTAGTACTCCTAACCCACTAGTGAGGTTTTGAATAGGAGTGCTAAAATTGAAAGGGATACTAAACACATCAAACTTTAGCTTAATGAAGCAGTTTTAGCATATAGATCATGACCCTGCAGTCTCACTGCTCCATTCTCTGTCATTTAGGAGTTAAATCACTTTTTCAGTATGGTCTATAAGACTTTCAACAGCGCAAGAGACAATAAATTCTAAATTAAGCAGAATATGCAATAAATATAGTTTAAACTTTAGATCTCTCTTTACAGGAAGTATTTAGGAAGGCTGTGCCAGTCACATGCAAGAAGGTGTGACTTGAGCTGTATAAACAAAGTGATTTAACTCCTAAATGACAGCAAACTGAGCAGTGAGACTGCAGGGGCATGATCTATACACCAAAACTGCTTTATTAAGCTAAATTTGTTTTGGTGCATATGGTGTTTAGAGTTGCATTACTATAACGATTCAAAATGTAAACAGACTTAAAGTAGTATTGCACATAAAGTGTCATCATCATAGATCTGAGTTGCAGAATCAGAACACTCAATGGCAGTTGATCCCAATTCTCAACCCAGTTTTCAAGAACCCCAATAGTCCATATTTTAGGCATATCCTTATTTGGTTCCAAAATTTAAAAGAGCACTGTAGTAACCCTTTACCCCCCTCTTTAAATCCCCCTACCTCGGTGATATAAAGGATTACATGCTTTCCGATTTCCAGTGCCAATGTCCCTCGGCGGTGAGTCGGGCTCCTCCTCTGCCAATGTCAGCCAAACAGGGGAACCTAATGCGCAAACCCAGTGAGCACAAGGCAATGACTCAATGTTTTCCTATCGGGATTCTGAAAATGCTGGACATCATCATGCAAAGCATTTAATGGAGTCAAACTGTCACAGTCTTCTCAGTTCTTCACCACTGGGTGATTGAAATGGGATCATTGGCGTATTAACAAAATATTTAACAGTGATTTATTGTTAATAGTAATATGATGCATTTTAATTATGCATATTGCATCCTGGAGATATATTCAAAAGGTTAAAGGTTTTTTTTTTTTACTCTTTACAACTGTATTCAATAAATAATCAAATCCCTTTAAGGTCTTGTAGTTGTCCTCACTGTGACAACTACCAGTAGACTGAGTTTTAGTTCCTCAGAAAATAATTTTTGAGTTTCCCATGTGGCTTTCATATTATGTGGCAAACTTAAAATATTTGTACTCCATAGTGTAATTTCTAAGTACTTCAATGTCATATTGGAATAATAGAGTCTACACATTTCTAATTCTAAAGTGTTGTACGGCATGGTAAGCAATCTAGGGAGATGTTATGTGGCAGCAAATACTAGAAAAATATAAACATTTAATTATATCGCTTTTTTGTTTGTTTTTAGATGAAAGGAATCCACCAATTATTTTCTTTGAACCATGTGTCTACAGCATTAATGGAAAATTCAGGACTTCAATATCATGGATACCAAGTATGCATTTATTATAAACACCCTTTTTAAAATCATTCTTTATCATTCTTTATTTTTCTGTGCGTGGTGGTATAAACAGGCTTGCAAAGCCTCAACAACTTTTGCAGGCAGGCAGGAAAACATAGTAAAAATCATATGCATGGCATCTTGAAGTTGTTGCACATTTTTATGTTGAGGAAACTAGGTATTTATATTCAATACTAAGCATTCTTGTCTGTTGTGTTCTATGCGTCTATCTGTATTTTGTTGGGCTTCGGTGTGTATGCTCAGTTGCCTAGTTACTTAGGTTTATGTTGAGTGAGAAAAATAGTATAGTTAAATGTGAGTGGAGAGTAGTGAAGGAGTATTAAACCCCTACGCATTTGTTTGTGTGCTGTTGGGCCACTTAGAGAGAGCTATATCTCGTGGGGTGTGAGGCCCCAGCTAGTAGGGTGTTGTCCGACATATCTAGGCCAGTATACCACAGGGAGGGCAGGGTGTGTGTGTGGTGGATGCTCGAGTGGCATGACTCCTAGGGCCGCGAGGGTGAAAAGTCTATGCCATGTGGAGGAGTTCCTGATGTTTGGGTTTAAGTTATGTAGATGGTCTATTGGGCTTGAGATAGCCTTATGGGTTCCTTTTGACCCATTATGAGGGGGGATGCTGTAGCCCTTTGTTTGTGTTGCCGTTATCCTAGAGGGCTGTAGGAAGGGGTAATGTCTCTGAATATCTGCTGGTGCGCCCTTGTCTGAAGTGGGGAGTGTAACTGCGCTAACAGAGTGTGTTGAACAACGAAAACAATATTAACATCAACAGCGGGGATATAGATTTATCTTCTTGTAGTTAGGAGTGTCTGGGCGCCATCTACTTATCAGGGGTAAAATAGTTTGACAATGGTGTAACCACAAATTTGGGGCTGATAGCTTTTTCTCAACTGATAGGCTGAGAGTGTCCATCTGGCTCTCCCTTGCTCTTATTACACTACAAAGAGAAATAAGCTTAAGTTGTTATGGGGTGGGATTGTTCCTTTAAAGTAATTATTAACCCCTTAAGGACACAGCTTCAGAAGCTTGTCTTACGCTTAATGACACAAGCAATTTTTGCATTTTCTTGCTGTATGCGTTCAACTGCAATTTGCATCTCTCTCGTTTATTGCACCGACACATATTATATACTGTTTTTTAAAGGACATAAAGGGCTTTAATTTGATGTAACATATATATATATATAAATGCTTATTTATTATTTAAAAAATACAGAAAAATGCAAAAAAAAGAAAAATTTTGTGTTTTTTGTACAGTTTTTGCAATAATAATGTGTGCCTAATTAGTGCAGGTTAAAGAAAGTAATTAAAAATAAATTTATTTAGTTGTTCTGATTTACAAAATATATAATGTGTCTGGGATTTAAAGTTTTTTTTGGTAGTTACAGGTCATAAAGCACAAGGAGTAAAATAAACTTTTAATGTAGAGCGATTTTAGAATTTTGTATGTTTGTCTTGTAAGCTTAATAGCCATAAAAGAAAACAAAATTGCCACACAAAAGTATATATTTATATAAAGTAGACATCACAGGCTATTGTCCTAAGGTTTTTTGACACTTTCTAAGTAGCCATTTCACCGCCAATCTCTGCTAAATATTGGAGTAAAATTTAGTTTTTTGGAGTTTTTGGCACACAAACTTATAACAAAGAACTTCCCATGTATATTTTGTAAAGTTGGTGTGTGCTATTCCTGTACAAAGTTTTATTTTGTGTTCAGTTACTTCTGCTGAGTACAACGATACCCCCATTGTATGTCTTTGGCACTATTTCGTGAAGCTACAGTGCCATATAGGAGACCTGTCCGTTTCAACATTTACAGTAGAATTTTGAGAGGCGGATTTAATGGGCCTATGCTTCAATTTGGGGTATTATAGCAGTTTGACTGTTCAAAAAAAACCCACAAAGGCCTACCATTTATAAAAGTAGACACTCCAGGGTATCTCATATGGTGCATATTGTGCCTTAACATGCCCCCATTTTTTCACCAATATATGCCAAAGTATGTGGTAAAAAATAATTTTGGGCATTTTTTACATACGGATTACATTTTTGCTGGGCATTTTGTACATTTCATATGTGCCACTAAGTTCAAACCCCCCAAATTATGCTCAGCTAAGTCTTCTGAGTAAAACAATATGCCCAATGTATGACCTAGACACTATTTTGTGAAGTTACACTGCTATAAAAGAGACATAACAAGTTAAGGTTTTTAAGTGTGAATTTTCATGGAGGGTTTTGATACGTCTGTGTTCCACTTTGGAGCACTTGAGCAGGCTACATATTACAACTACACCATAAAGGCATACCATTTCTTAAAGAACACATCCCAGGGTATTTCAAAAGGCATATTTTGAACCTTAGCGTGGGATAATTTTTCCGCTAGCTTGTACCAAGTGTAATGGTAATAAGCGTTTTTTTGCCTTTTTGACACACAAAGTAAATTTGCGCAGTACATTTTGCAAATCTTATGTGTGCTACGACTGTATAATACTTCATATGTTGCTCAGCTATGTCGGCTGAGTACATCAATACCCCCGTATGTACCTTTGCCAGGTATATGTGGACATCGGAGGGGCACATTTGGGACACAGCCATTCCAGTTCATTTCAAACTTTAAATTTTTACACTGTTCCCATGTCCCATTTTAGAGTATTTTACCAGGCTATATAATCCAAATACCCCATAAAGCCATACCATTTCTTAAAGAAGACATCCCAGGGTATTTCAAAAGGCATATTTTGAACCTTAGCGTGGGATCATTTTTCCGCTAGCTTGTACCAAGTGTAGTGGTAATAAGCATTTTTTCTGCCTTTTTGACACACAAAGTGAGTTTGCGCAGTATATTTTGCAAACCTTATGTGTACTACGACTGTATACTACTTCATATGTTGCTCAGCTATGTCGGCTGAGTACATCAATACCCCCGTATGTACCTTTGCCAGGTATATGTGGACATTGAAGGGGCACATTTGAGACACAGCCATTCCATTTTTTTCAAACTTTGAATTTTTACGCTGTGTCCATGTCCCATTTTAGAGTATTTTAAAAGGCTATATAATCCAATTACACCATAAAGGCATACCATTTCTTAAAGAAGACATCCCGGGGTAATTCAAAAGGCATATTTTGAACCTTAGCGTGGGATAATTTTTCCGCTAGCTTGTACCAAGTGTAGTGGTAATAAGCATTTTTTCTGCCTTTTTGACACACAAAGTGAGTTTGCGCAGTATATTTTGCAAACCTTATGTGTACTACGACTGTATACTACTTCATATGTTGCTCAGCTATGTCGGCTGAGTACATCAATACCCCCGTATGTACCTTTGCCAGGTTTATGTGGACATTGAAGGGGCACATTTGAGACACAGCCATTCCATTTTTTTAAACTTTGAATTTTTACGCTGTGTCCATGTCCCATTTTAGAGTATTTTAAAAGGCTATATAATCCAATTACACCATAAAGGCATACCATTTCTTAAAGAAGACATCCCGGGGTAATTCAAAAGGCCTATTTTGAACCTTAGCGTGGGATAATTTTTCCGCTAGCTTGTACCAAGTGTAGTGGTAATAAGCATTTTTTCTGCCTTTTTGACACACAAAGTGAGTTTGCGCAGTATATTTTGCAAACCTTATGTGTACTACGACTGTATACTACTTCATATGTTGTTCAGCTATGTCGCTGAGTACAGCAATACCCCCGTATGTACCTTTGCCAGGTATATGTGGACATTGAAGGGGCACATTTGAGACACAGCCATTCCAGTTTTTTCCAAACTTTGAATTTTTACGCTGTGTCCATGTCCCATTTTAGAGTATTTTACAAGGCTATATCATCCAATTACACCATAAAGGCATATCATTTCTTAAAGAAGACATCCCAGGGTAATTCAAAAGGCATATTTTGAACCTTAGCGTGGGATAATATTTCCGCTAGCTTGTACCAAGTGTAGTGGTAATGAGCATTTTTAAATGTATTTTTTTACTTTGTAAAACTTTTTTTACTTTGTAAAACCCATTTTTAAACTTTTTTTTTTACTTATTAAATGTTTTACACTATCTTAACTTTTTTACACTTTTAATTTTTTTTCTAAACTTTTCTTTTACCGTTAACCCCTAACTAGCAGTAAGCAGCACTAACCGTAAATTCCCCATTTTCCCATAACTCCCACCCACCCCAGCTAGCAAAATATTTAATTATAAAATATTTAAATTAATTAAATAAATGGAACCCCTGAGGGTTAAAAAAAATAAATAAAAGTTAATCCTCAGGGGTTAAAAAAATTAGATCACAGTATAATACTGTGATCTGTATTTTGATCACTGTAGGCAGTGATCATCTGGCAGGGAAGGGGTTAATTTTTATTTAGACTGGGTAAAGGGGGTGGTATTTTTTTTTTTTTTACTTAAACGTTACTAAAACATTTAAAAAAAATAATTTTTTTACCTTTTTAAAGCTTATTTTAAAACTTTTTTTAACGTTAACCCCTAGTTAGCCTAACACCAAATTCCCCAATTCCCCACTAACTTCCACCCATCCCAGCTAGCTAAATATATAATTTTTTAATATTTAAATTAATTAATAAAATAAATTTAACCCCTGAGGGTTAAAAAAAAAATAATTAACCCTCAGGGGTTAAAAAAAAAAAATCAGATGACATTAAAATGTATACCCTGCCAATTGATCACTGTAGTCAGTGATCAATTGGCAGGGAAGGGGTTAATTTTATTAAAACAGGGGCAGGGGGGGGTGGGATTTAACTTTAATTTTTTTTTTTTTACACAGGGAAGCAGATCAGCACTGATCCGTCTCCCTGCACTTCACACAGAACCCGGAAGTGCAGGGAGGCGGAAGGTGAGTATGTGGAGCACATGTGCTCGCTCTGACATGCTGTCAGAGCGAGCACCGGTGCTGGGGCAGCCCGATCGGGTGCTCCCGGTCTGCCTCTAATGCAGAGGCAGACCGGAGCACCGTTAACCCCGCGATTGCCGCGATCGCGGCGATCTGGGGTTAACTTAAGAAAATGACGGAAATTTTCCGTCAACGGTCCTTAACTGAAGGACAAGGTTGACGGAAAATTTCCGTCCACGGTCGGGAAGGGGTTAATAATAGTTTAACATGAAAGTTTTGTATTTTTTTCTCAGAAATGAATTTACATCGCTTATCAGTTTCTGTTGACGTATGGTATGGACCCATGACCGTTTCAGAAAGAAGAACGATTCTTTGTTCAGGAGAGCATGATGAATTTGACTTTTGTGGAACACTGAAAGGAGGTACTATACGCTATGTTAATAAAATCATTCCTGTAATTGAGCAAATCATCAAATCAACCTATTACTAGATCATCTTATTTATCTTACATGGACACAGTCCTCCTGGTTTGCTTTACTGTTTAACATGATTAATTACCCTTTAAATAACTGAGTACTAATTAACAATGTTGTTATTGCTAACAGCTGGTCGATATCCGTGGCCAAAAACATGACAAAAAGTTTTAAAGCTACATGGCCACAGTTTGCAGATTACTACAATTAATATCCGCCCCGACAGATACAGTGAGGGAAAAACGTATTTGATTCCCTGCTGATTTTGAACGTTTGCCCACTGACAAAGAAATGATCAGTCTATAATTTTAATAGTAGGTGTATTTTAACAGTGAAAGACATAACAACAAAAAAAATCCAGAAACGCATGTCAAAACAGTTATAAATTGATTTGCATGTCAATTAGTGAATTAAGTATTTGACCCCCTTCGACTTAGTACTTGGTGGCAAAACCCTTGTTGGCAATCGCAGAGGTCAGACGTTTCTTGTAGTTGGCCACCAGGTTTGCACACATCTCAGGAGGGATTTTGTCCCACTCCTCTTTGCAGATCCTCTCCATGTCATTAAGGTTTAGAGGCTGACATTTGGCAACTCGAACCTTCAGCTCCCTCCACAGATTTTCTATGGGATTAAGGTCTGGAGACTGACCATTACTGCTGCAAGAAAGTCAGTGATCCATTAGCTGATTTGCAATAAGCCAACGTAGCCTTCTGGAGAACCACACTAAGACTCTATCCTGCACACTATCATTTAATTATAACTTAACCACCCTGTAAACTTACTTTATTTTATACGTTCTTGGTGTATTGCATATTTTCTTACATTTATGTCTTGTATGCAATGCTAAAGTGTAGTTGTATTAGCCCTGTATGTAATTGTTTTATTCACATATATGCATATCTCTATTACCCCTCTGATTTCTGCCCTCTGACCCCTCCCTTCTATTATTGATATCAACTCAAATGTTTTTGTTTGAATAACCATCCCCTCATCTCTTTGCTTAGATGCATATCCCCCACCCTCAGCTTTATTGCAGGCCGATCTGAACCTCACATACCTTTCTTCCACAACCTGATTTCCAAACTTTCCAACCCCATTACTGCTGAAAGAAAGTCTGATACCCGCCAAGCCCACTCCAAGCTCATTATTGCACCCTAAGCTCATTATTACATTTATAGATAGTCTGTCACACCCAAATTTTACATAAGCAGAAACAGCAGGTGTACACACCTTCCTTATCAGTGCACTGCTGCACTTTCTTAACTCCTAAAACTTCATTTTTTACCCTTCCTACTCCTTGATATTTTTTTACTCCCTCTCCCTCAGTATCAAAATTTCTCCTTACACCCACTTTCCTCACCCCCCCAACGACCTCTACATTTCCCCCTTCTCTCAACTCATGCCCTGCACTCATTTTTCTGCTCCCTCTCTCCTATCCACAATCGATCTCATCCTGAACTCCATGCACATAAAACCCACTCAAACCACCTGTCACTATCTCTCCTCCTTCTTCTAGCAGCTGGTGATGTCTCTCCCAACCCAGGGACTGTCACCTACTCTGCACACACTAAGACAACCAGAAACCACATAAACCTCATAACAATACCCTGCCCTTTACCCACATTTGCCAGCATTCAGTGTGCACTCTGGAACGCCCATTCTGTCTGCAGCAATCTGAAATCAACAGCCATACACAACCTTTTCATCTCAAACCCACTCACACTACTAGCACTCACAGAGACCTGGCTTTCCCCCTCTGATAGTGCTACTCCTGCCTCTTTATGTTTTGGTGGGCTACAATTCTCCCACACTCACAGACCCAACAACTGGAAAAGAGGTGGTATAGGCATCCTTCTCTCCCACAAATGTACCTTTCAACCAATCTCCTCCTGCCCTATCCTTTACTTTCTTTGAAGTTCACACAGTCTGCCTATTTAAGCCCACTCCTTTAAGAATTGCTGTCATCAATCCCCTCCCCGCCCCATGGTCATCCTAGGCTATTTATTGAGCACTTTTCTTCCTGGCTACCTCACTTCCTCTCCTTTAGCACTCCTTCCCTTATACTTGGGGATTTTAATATCCCAATCAACAACCCCAACTGCACTGATGCCTCTCGTCTGCTCTCTGTAACCTCCTCCTTTGGCCTCATGCAATGGTCTAATTCAGCAACCCATACAGCAGGAAACACTCTTGATCTCACCTTCACCAACCTCTGTACTGCCTATAATCTCTCCAATATTCCTTTTCCTCTATCTGACCACCATCCGCTTACTTTTTACATCAGCACACCCAAGACCCAACTGACATCACCCTCAGCACATCAATATCACAGAATGTCTTGGCCTAGAGCGCTTCTCCACTAACCTCCAAACTCTCCTTTTACCAATCTCAAACCTCACCTGCCCTAGCTCTGCAATCTCCTTCTACAATTCCACCCTCTCCTCTCAACTAGGCGTCATGGCACCTCCTATACGTAAATGCAGAACTACAACCTTGAAACACCAAGCTGACTCGATACCACCAAAAATACACTTTTAACTCTCTTCTTCGCCCTGTTGCTCTTCCTCCTCCTACCGACTTAACCACCACAAACTTTGCATCTCACTTCACTGACAGGATCTCTACAATCAGGGAAGAGATCTTTCATCTCTCTCCTTCCTCTTACAATATTTACCCCAACCTCACTCACTCCCACTGTTCTATGTTCATTCGCACCTGCTTCAGCGGAAGAGGCTTCTGGTCTAATCCGGTCCTTCCGCCCCACCATCTGCTTCCTTAAACCTATTCCCTCATATCTCATCCGTACTCTGTCTCCTTCTCTTGCTTTGCCTCTTATTAAAATTCTCAATCTCTCCCTCTCATCTGGCATGTTTCCATTTCCCTTTAAACATGTGACTGTAACCCCGATTCTAAAAAAAGCCCAACCTTGGTCCTATCTAGCTACTGCCTTTTGTGTCCAAGATCCTTGAAAGACTTGTGTATGTGAGATTGACAGATTTCCTCGAGTCCAATTCTCTGCTCGACCCACTTCAGTCTGGTTTCTGCGCTCAGCACTCTGTGGAAACAGCTCTGACCAAAGTATTAAACTACCTACCAAAATCTCATGGTCACTAGTCTATCCTAATTCTCCTTGACCTTTCCGCTGCTTTTGATACTGTTGATCATCAACAGCTTCTTCTCATCCTCTGTAAACTCAGCCCATGAGATATTGCTCTCTCCTGGTGCTCCTTCTACCTCACCCAGCGCTCTTTTAGTGTTTCTTTCTCTGGCTCTGCCTCTTCCTCTGTTGGTATCCCCCAAGGTTCAGTCCTTGGTTCCCAACTGTTCTCGATCTACACTGCCTCCCTTGGTAAACTCATCAGCTCCTTTGGCTTCCATTATCACTTCTATGCAGATGACACGCAAATCTATCTATCCTCTCCTGATCTCTCGCCGCCCCTCTTGACTAGTGTCTCTGACTGCCTCTCTGCTATTTCTAACTGGATGGCTGCCCACTTCCTTGAACTCAACTTGCCCAAAACAGAACTCATGGTCTTTCATCCCTCAAGTGTTGCTACTCCCGTCTCTGTCTCCCTCCACGTTAATGTGCTACCATCAGCTACACCACGCAGGCTCGCTGCCAAAGTGTTCTCTTTGACTCCGACATCTCCTTCATCCCTCATATCCAGTCAATCTCAAAATCCTGCCGCTTCCATCTGAAAAACATTGCGCACATCCGCCCTACTTAACGTCAGATGCGGCTAAGGTGCTGGTCCATGCCACTGTCCTCTCTTGCCTTGACTACTGCAATCCGCTACTCACTGGTCTTATGTGCTCCCAACTTGACCCATTGCAGTCTACAATGAATGCGGCGGCAAGGCTCATCTTCTTGTCCACCCGCACCTCTCATGCCTCACCCCTCTGTCAGTCCCTGCATTGGCTTCCCGTAAGATATAGGGCTCAATATAAAACTCTAGTTCTTGCTTTCAAATCTTTACATAATGCTACTCCCACCTAAGAATCCTCCCTAATACACAAGTATGTCCCATCTAGGCCCCTACGCTCTGCCGAAGACCTGCGTCTATCCTCTGTTCGTACTCCCACCTATGATGCTCGTATTCAAGATTTCTCTAGGGCTGCACCATTCCTGTGGAACTCCCTTCCCTTCTCCGTTAGATGCTCACCCAGTCTCCACTTCTTCATAAAATCATTAAAAACACACTTTTTCACAAAAGCATATGAATTCAATTGTTAATGGCTCCAAAAAAAAAACACACTAAGTCTTCATTGAGTACTATTCTACCAATCTACTTCCCTAATACTTCCCTTACATTTTGTGTCACTTTACCCCACTCCCTCTAGCTTGTAAGCACATTGAGCAGGGCCCTCAACCCCTCTGTTTCTGTGCGTCCAACTCATCCGGTTACAATTTCCTGTTTCCTGTCTAGCCTATTTTAGGCATCAGCACTTTAGCACATATTGATTTTGTCAATTGTGCCACAATGTTTGTGAGTGTTTTAATTTATCACTTTGGAATTAAAAGTTTGCACTATGATGTTTTCTCTTTTTATATTTTTTATGTGAATATTCCCATTCATTCGCTGGAGGGTAATTATATCCAGTATTTATATTTGGTGATAAGTGGCGCCCTATTTCTGTATAGTATATACAGTTTTGTTTTTTGCACACCCATTGTAAAGCGCTACGGAATTTTTTGGCGCTATATAAATATAATAATACAAATAAATAATATGACAACAGATCACTATTTCCCAAAGATTCAAAGGAAGCCATGAATGAGGAGAGCCTCAGTGAATACCTTCTGCAGCCCAGAAACAGCTGAACTCACAGATTAGATTTGCCAATGCTATATATGTCCCTATAAATACATTAACAAACCTAAGACCATGTTGAACATTATACCACTTCCATACTGCTCCATGTAACACATTCTATAATAATACCAAGACCACATATAAAATAAATTGGTTTTATTTACTCAATCTATACAATTTACAACCATTTATAACTGGAACCACAATCCAAAAACTGTGCCCACTTTTATGTAGCCAACAAATGGAGCACCATGTACCCATTTAACAAAATGAGAGAAATGTATTAAAGGGTACTCAGAAGTATCTTTTACTTTTGACCTTTAATCTGAACATTAGTATTAAATTGTTCTAAAGATGGTTTAAAATGTGCTTATTTTTGGCTAAATGACATGACAAGTTTTTGCATAAGTATCCATTTCAGTAGAGATCAATAAATTGGCAGAAAAAAAAGTGAAAAAGAACATTTTTCTGGTGAAACAAGTGACAGAAATATTGATATATCAAAATAGGATAAAATAAAAAATAGAAAAGATTAGGGAACAAAAGAAGCAACAAATGACACCATACAGATTTAATATACTGCTCCATCAAATTGTGATTTTTTGTTAAAAAAACATCATAACACTATCTGCGACAGCTTGCTAAATCTTACCCCAAAGTTTTAATACTTCAATTATACTTTATCAGCCTTGCTTACAGGTGCACTTTAGTCCCTGCCACAGGCCAGGTATATATAAAACCATATGGGTAAAGAATTTGTATGTCTGTCCAGATAAACTTACATATTTGTCTGTTTCTGTAAGTTTTTCTATCCATATCTTTCTAATTATGTCTTTGTTTCTCCAGAAACAGTCCACACTTGGATCGAAGGACGTTTTAAACAGTTCAGTTTTGCGAAGGTACTGTGTAACTTTATAATTAAAAACGTTAAAATTAAAAATATACCTAGGTATTAGTACTAAGTTATGGTTTCACAGCATCCTGGGTGAAAATAATTTGCCTTTTGGCCTTGAAATCAAACACAAATTAACAAACTAAGTTTAAAATAAACATATTTTTCTTTTTAACCTTAGAATGTCCCTTTAAAGGAACACTCCAAACACCATAACTACTACAGAGCACCATAGTAGCTATGAAGCCAGGAGTGCCCTGCATGCTCCTTCCCTCCCACATATGCATTGCTCAGGTGGGTCTTTGGGGGCCGAATCTCGGATGTGGGGCTCTTTGGCCCTGAACCACTACAGTCCACGCAGAGGGAAGGATGATATCTATGTTTTTTTTAAATTATTTTTAATTTTACATTAGCCAGCTTCTTTTTATAGAATGTATATGAAGCATTTTATGAGATATTTATGAGTTAGTGATGTCCGAACGGTTTGCCGAATGGTTCGCGAACGGTTCGCCTCGGACTCCAGTCAGCAGATACATTCCAGCCAATCAGCAGCAGACCCTCCCTCCTTGACCATCCCACCTCCTGGACAGCATCCATTTTGAAGCTGCATTCTTAGTGAGCTGTCCAGGAGGTGGGAGGGTCTGGGAGGGAGGGTCTGCTGCTGATTGGCTGGAATGTGCCTGCTGACTGGAGTCCTTGGCGAACCGTTCACGGTGAACCGATGCGAACCGTTCGGCACATCACTGTTTATGAGCAATGTATTAAATTACTTGCATGTTTGAGTTGTATTATATACCCATAAAATAAACAAACATGCAACAGAACTTAACATCTGGTTACTATAACCGTTTGAATTATACTACTACTTATTGACTAACTACATGCTATTAGTTGTAAATACCAATGTTTCTCTAATATTTTTTTTTTTTAGGGCACATATACAATCAATATTAATGCATTCGCTGGTGAACAAGAAGAATGTATTTTCTGTGGTACAATTAATTTAACCATCAAAGTCTGAAATGAAAAATAAGTAAATAAAGATTGCTTTAAAATGATATATTTATGTCTTTCCTTTTCAATGTGTAACTAATCTAAACCTGCTCTATACTATAGTCCTTTGATGGATAATGGAGCTTATCGGATTCACAGATTGTTCTTCAGCTTACATACCTATGTTTAATCTTTTGTTCCCACAGTTAAAGGCACCCAGACCACTTCATATCATTGAAGTGGTCTGGGTGCAGTGTCCCTGTCCCCCCTTAACCCTGCAATGTAAAACAATACATGTTTAGAGAAGTTTTCACTGCAGTGTTAAGACTGCCTCTAGTAGCTGTCTGTTTCATGAAGTTTAACTCTGTGAAAAGAAGCTAGACATCTTCATCCTCATGCAAAGCATGTTTCTGCTTTGCATAAGAAAATCAGTCTTCTAAATTCCCATGATTCAGTGCTTTCCTATGGGAAAGGCCTCTTGCGTGCACATTAAGTTCCCCTTAGCGATGACGTTGGAGGAGGCGCAGATGGATCCAGGTCCAAAAAACCTCGGTGTTAGAATAAGGTGAGTGTTTAAAGGTTTATTTACCCTTTTAGTGCTGCAGGGCAGGGTGGGCAGTGAGATTTGATGGTGTTAGGAATACAACTTTTTATTCCTAACACTGTAGGGTTCATTTTGCTTAGCTAATGTAGTCATGG